TATAGAAAATGGGAAGAACATCCCAGCTGAAGGAAGAACAAAGACAATCTGTCCCAGTTTTGCACTTACCTGGTATTTTGGGAACAAGAAGGTGTGTGACTAGAGATTATGAGAGGTCATTAAAATGGCAAGAGACAAAGTTGGAGAGGTAGAGTCACATGATATAGAGCCTTGTTGGATATGGAAAGAGAAATGGAGGTTTTTCTGGATGGAGGATTTTAAGAAGGGGCCTTAATATCCTGACTTATATCTTAAAAAATCATTCTGGCTATCCTGTTGTGAATTTCCAAAAAGGATGGGGAGGTGACAAAGTAGAAGAGAAAGTCTTAACATTATGAAAATAGCTTTGTTTATAATTCTAAAATGGAACTTAAGTTAGTCAAGTTATTATAGACACTTATTGTAAAGATAGGAGAAGCATGTTTAAAAGTATATGTATTTAAAAAGTGACTTTAGCCTGTAACAATGCCTTATGCCTGTAATCCTAGCTACTCAGTAGGCAGACATGAGGGAGGATCATGGTTTGAAGCCAGAAGGGGCAAAAAAGTTCAAAAGACCACATCTCAACCAATAAAAAACCGAGTGTGGTGGCATGCACCTGTCATCTCAGCTACTGGAAAGCTTAAATAGGAGGATCATGATCTAGGCCACCTCAGGCATGAATTTGAAACTTTATCTAAAAAATAACCAAAGCAAAAGAAGTGGGGCCATGACTCAAGTGGTAGAGCACCTGCCTAACAAGCATGGGCTCCAAGTTCGGTCCCCAGTACCATAAAAAAAACAAAAAATGAATTCTGTATAAGAGTTTATTTGAGCTGACTACATATCCTATATTGCTTATTGGAGTATATGCATATTGAGAAAAAATATACAATCCTAATTTAGTTGGGGGGGGATGATGTAAAGGACAGAACAGGTCCTTTACATCAGAAATGCAGGTATTTTCAAGATAGACTGAATGAGGGTTCGGAAATGTAGGTATTTTCTAAGATAGACTGAATCCTTACTTTTGTGAGTTTTTTCAATACATTTCTCTATACAGAATTATTCTTGTAATATTTATAATTCATAATATATACTCAGTTATCCATCAAAAGTATAGCAACATGTTGATATTCTCGGGAACCATGAAAGAGCATTCATCTGCCCACTTGTCTCCAATAATATGAGTATAATTCAAGAAAGTTAAATGTGACAAAGAAATTAAATGGTTTATAAGTTATAATTGTAAGGTTTACACTAGGGTTTCTCAACTTCTACACTAATGCCATTTGGGTACAAATACTCCTTTTAGAGGGCTGCCACTGAACACCCCCCAAAAGCCAGTTCACCCTCCAACTGTGATGATGAAATCTGCTTCTAGACATTGGCAAATATCCCCTGGGCAGCTGAATCCCCTTCAAGGAGGACCACTGTCTTCTAGTAAATGTCTGTTCATTTATCAACTAGCTTTCCTTCCTTCCTTCCTTCCTTCCTTTGATTGAAAATGAAAATAAGTTAATTCTTAAGAAGCTTGGACTTTCTTATTTTTATATACAGGAGTGATGACTTCCTCTCTCATAAACTTAGAAGCATTTTTATTCAAACTTATAAGCAATGGTCTGTGTTAGTTTCAACAATGTCTTTGTCACTATTTGCATCAAACTTGCTATTTTCTACCTCTGAAGCAATGGAAACCTGGTTACTATTCAGGTTGAAAATGCTTAAAGCTGCCTCAGTTCATATCCCACCCAGGTGGTCTGGGCATGACTTCATGTTTGTCTGGTACAGGTGAGCAAAGCAGCTGTCCCACAAACATTTATCTAGACACTCTCAGTGCCTAGTTAGTTGGAAAGCAATAAAGAAGTGAAATTCATGCCCATTAAAATGTATACATTTACATGTATAGTCTTCCCTCCATATAAAAGGAAAACTGGTTCCAGGTCCCTACAGGTACCAATATCTAGTCTCTTCCTTAAAATGGCATAGTATTTGCATATAAATATGCACCTCCTCCTCTGTACTTTAAATCATCTCTAGGTTACTTACGTAAGTGGAGCATACCTAATCTGAAAGTCTAAAATTCTCCAAAATTTGAATTTGGAGGCTACTTAAAAAGCTAGACATTGATCTACCATTTGATCCAGTAATACCACTCTTGGGGATATACCCAAAAGACTGTGACACAGGTTACTCCAGAGGCACCTGCACACCCATATTTATTGCAGCACTATTCACAATAGCCAAGTTATGGAAACAGCCAAGATGCCCCACCACTGACGAATGGATTAAGAAAATGTGGTATCTATACACAACGGAATTTTATGCAGCCATGAAGAAGAACGAAATGTTATCATTCACTGGTAAATGAATGGAATTGGAGAACATCATTCTGAGTGAGGTTAGCCTGGCCCAAAAGACCAAAAATCGTATGTTCTCCCTCATATGCGGACATTAGATCAAGGGCAAACACAACAAGGGGATTGGACTATGAGCACATGATAAAAGCGAGAGCACACAAGGGAGGGGTGAGGATAGGTAAGACACCTAAAAAATTAGCTAGCATTTGTTGCCCTTAACACAGAGAAACTAAAGCAGATACCTTAAAAGCAACTGAGGCCAATAGGAGAAGGGGACCAGGACCTAGAGAAAAGGTGAGATCAAAAAGAATTAACCTAGAAGGTAACACCCACGCACAGGAAATTAATGTGAGTCAACTCCCTGTATAGCTATCCTTATCTCAACCAGCCAAAACCCTTGTTCCTTCCTATTATTGCTTATACTCTCTCTACAACAAAATTAGAAATAAGGGCAAAATAGTTTCTGCTGGGTATTGAGGGGTTGGGGGGAGAGGGAGGGGGCGGAGTGGGTGGTAAGGGAGGGGGTGGGGGCAGGGGGGAGAAATGACCCAAGCCTTGTATGCACATATGGATAATAAAAGAAAAAAAATTCTCCTAAACTTGAAACCTTTTTTTGGAACTTCTTTGAAAATTCCATACCTGACTGCATGTGAGGAGTTGCACAAAATTACTAAAACTATTGTATAAAATCACCTTCAGGGTATCTGTTTTGACTTGGTTCCTATTCCTGTGATGTCATATTACATATATGCAAATATTCCCAAACCTGAAAAAAATCTGAAATCTGAAACACTTTAGGTCTCAAGCATTTCAGATAAGGAATGCTCAACTTGTAATACAGATGCAGTGTAAAATCTGTTCAGTACAGTTTTCCTTTTCCTGTCTTTTTTTTTTTTTTTTTTTTTGGAGATAGGGTCTTGCTATGTGGCCCAGCCTGACCTTGGACTCTCAATTCTCCTACTTTAACCTCATGAATGCTGGGATTATAAGTATGCATCACCACATCCAGTTCTACAATTTTTCTTTTTGTGAATATTTTTGATCCATAGTTGGTTGAATCCACAGATAGAGAATCCATGAAAATGGAAAACTGCATTTCCAAAAGTAATACAGACCGATTCCTTCAGCAATTTATCTGCACCTTTTCTTTCCATCAAAATAGTAGAGAGCCACAGCACTATTTTTGCATACTTAAGATCTAAATTTGGGCTCCAGTGCAGAACACAGCAGCAGCTGGTGGGGAACCAGATTTGCCTTGATCCACACCAGACTGCCATAGTAGAGGCTCACTGAAGATCACTTCTGTAAGTTCAACTGAGATAGAGGTTCTGCCTACACAAAACCAAATTAACCACAATTGTAGCATTGGGAGTCATGGCACAGCAGTACAGATAGACACAAGGAAGGATCCTGTTCAGGTCCTAACACTTAACAAATCGAAAGAAAATGTTTAGTGAGTTATAGCAGCAGCTACCAGAAGACTTCCTTACGGCTTCATCTTCTCAGTAGATGGGCACAATATTTAAATCACAGGGCAAAATAAAGTTCTTCTGAAATTTTTAATTTCTCCATTCTAAATTAATTCTTAATTTTTTAGTTGCTTGAAAAGCACCCTAACAGTACTGATCTTCTCTCTATATATCTTCCTATCGATGTGAGGAAGAAAAAAAAAAAAAAACCCAACTCTTTGCTAATGCCTAACATTTAAACTTAAAACCAGCCCTTAAGAAGACAAATCTTTCAAGACAACGAGGCAAGGCCGTGCAAGGTCCTGCTTCCCTTGGAAGGGGTGGCGGGGGGGCAGTGGCAGTTCTACTTGGGGCCTAATGTGAGCGTGGGATCTTCCCGGGTAAGGGAACTTGAGGTGTGCGGGGTAACACCTCAGGAGGACACTTCTGCAGGCCCTGGTCTCCCAGAGTGGACCGTGGCGCCTCCGGCGCCAGGCCGGCGGCAGGGCCACTTTAAGGGCGGCGGAGCGTGCGCACCCACAGCTGTGCCCCGGCGCCATTAGCGCAGGCAGGGGCAGGCGGGACGCCACGCGCTGAGCTCTTCCTGCGGCCAGGCTGCCCCAAACTCTGCACGTGCGCTGCGGGGCCATGGCGGCCTCAATTACCAGCCAGGAGCTAAGCCACATCCCGGGCCAGGTAAGAGGAGGAGGAGGAGGAAGAGGAGGCAGCTGCGTTTATAGCCGCGCTGTTCCCCCTCAAGGCAGGGCCCAGGTAGCTCTCATTGAGGGGACATGCAGGAGGGCCACTTGCAGGGCGGGTGCGGGCCGTCCTCCCCAGGTGCCTGGAGCTGGGGGCGTGGGGGGCTGTGAAGAGGACTCCACTTGGCCTCCGAGGCTGCCCCAGGCCCTGGTCCTTGAGGTCGGGATGGGGCAGAATTATCTCGGGAAAGGAGGCCCAGGAAGGCGAAACCGTTTTATAAAGATAACTGGTCTCCTAGCTCTTGATGCTTGCCAACCTTAAAACCACTTTTAATCAGAAGAGTCCTGAGAGGGTTACCTCGCAGCAAAATTTAATGGGTTTGGGGCTCCATTGTGGACAAAATATGAATAACTTTTTAAGTTTTCCGGTAGGAAGGTTTTCTTGGCATAGGTACGCTTGCTTCCCACATCCTGGCTCTGCTCAGGTTGGCTTTTTTTCAGTATACAAAACTGGCATGGGGTCCTACGGGTGTCCCCACTCAGTGGCAGCTATGTGTGGGAGGCTAAGTGTGGGTACCTGCGCCCCACTCATCCTCCCGCCTCCATGGGGATCTCCGGCCTCTTCTCAAAGCGCCCTGTTGCCCATTCTCTTGGAGAAGCCCCAAATGGTATTGGCAAGTGTTTTAGATAAAAATGAAAGGCTATTATTATCCGGCAAGAAAGCATCAACAAAGCCTTGCCCACCCCAGAAAGCAAGGCCAGCTGGCGTTGGCTGCCTTCTCCACAGACCTTAGTGGACATACAGGAGAAGGGAGCCTCTGTGCCAAGTGCAGTTTTCTTATCCCTCAGAAGGCCCTGCCACTTACTGTCCTCCCTCCTCAGAACAAGCTTTCCAAAACATAATTATTTACTACTCTGAAGTGGGACCGTTTAACAGGTTTTTGTCATTTCTTCAAGATGGGGAAGCCCGCTAGAGTGCTAATGAAAAGTAGTATTTAATGGTGCGGGATTAGGCAAAGCTGCACAAAATGGAGTTCTGAATAAAATATCTGATTATCTAGTACATAAATAATTGTGGTTTCCGACCTTTGAGAGCGTGAAGCCCCAACAGAGCCCTTTGTGTGCCTTTGCCAGAAGAGCAGCTTGCTCAGTTCCTCCAGACAGAGCTGCCTAAATCCCTTGACTCCTGGGGACTCTGAGACCCATGATTGCCCTGTGAGAGTGCCGGCCTGTGCAGCTGCTGCTGATTGTCAACACTGCTCCTGGTGATAAGAGTGACATAAATAACAACTCACTAAAATGTGGGAGCGATTTGCGTTAAGCACTTCAGCACCTGCTGTTACTAATTAAGGGTTTAGCCTGCCACAGATTGCAAATGGAAATGCAGTGTTTTAAAAATTGTAGAGACTGGAGTGCCCTGCATGTTACTGTGACCGCAGAAATGAAACAGAAGGGATAAAGAACATTGGTGATGATGTCACCTGCCCATACTTAAGGGATGTATAGCAAGGTGTTAATAGGGCATGCCCTGAGTGGTGGGATTACAGATGCTTTTCATTTTTACTTGTCTTTTTTTTTTTTTAATTTCCCAATGAATATGTATTGCTTTTTTAAAAAGTACAGAAAAGAACCCAATAGAAAAAGATTTGCTATCAAGTCTAGCATTGCTCCAAATTGTGCTTACAGGTGAAAATTCTTGATGTAGTAGAAGGCAATTTTGCAACCTTTCCTTTTTATCAGCTGCTTCTCATTGCCTGTGTTCACGTATTTCACCCTCAACAAGATATTTTTAAATGAATAGATATTCAGATTTATGCTGATTATAAGCTATTCACTTAATTCAAGTTACTGGGTAGTGGACTTGAGCAGTGTTCTAATTTGTCTGATTAGTAACATTACGAGTGTGCTATGGCACTGATTCTGTGGGGCAGGGAGAAAAGCCTTTGGCAAGAGAGCAAATCACATCTTTCCAGTGACAAGGTGCAGGTGCTGAGCAGAGCACTGGGCTAGCAGTGCCTGGTATTCCTTATCCCTTTCTGATTGCCCCTGTACTTCCTCTCAGATTTCACCCCACATTCTGCATTTATGGCTCTTTCATGATGCTTCTCCACAAGATAGATTCTGGGGACAGTGGGATTAAAGTTATGCTGGAAAATATTTTAGAACACCAGGTGCAACCTAGGAAGAGCTCAAGTTAGGCAGCTGATTTCTGTTTTTCATACTTCTTTTCCTCGGTGGATCCCTTCCCAAGCTCTGTGACTCCACCAATGCTGAGAATAGTTCCATTCAGAGCTGTTTTGAGTGCCTAGCATGGACATTTTCTCTATAATTCCATCTCTCCCTCTCCCCCTCCTTTGTCAGGTGAACTGACATTTTCTGTGTTCTTTGTGCTCAGGTTAGGTATCACTTGAGGAAATATGGCAATAATGACCACCCCCAGGACATTGTACAAACATTTGTCCTTATCACAGGCTTGCAATGTAAGTGTTTTCCTCTCACCGAGGATCATAGTAGTATGTTAATCAGAGCTACTAGTAGGTGGCTGAACTAAGCTGTAGAATTTGGTCTCTGTCACAAAAGCCTTTGTTCCCTTTGAACTGCATTGTTGGAAACAGATCAGGAACGGCTTTGGTAGAACTGACACTCCTATGCCATTCTGTGTTCCAAGGATTGACAGCCATGCTCTCTCCACAGAGAAGGCTGCTAGAATGTAAGCCCCGTGAGGTCAGGGGCCTCAACTGTTCATTCATCCCATGTCCCTAGCACTGAATCTGCTCAGTGGGAGGAGCTCAATAAATATCTATGCAGACAAAAAATACCAAGCATATTTAAGCAGGCACACAAAAGGACAGGATGTTTTAAAGGACAAAACAAACCCAATAGAAAGTTTTACAAATCGTTCATACATGCTATTTTAGTGTAATTTTTCATAGCACACACTTTCATTCTCAAAAGTATTTCAATTAAAAAAAAGTCACTTAATATACACAGGTAGGCTATTTTGGGGCTTTCCTGGGTCAAACCAGGTTAATTAAAAATCAAAACTATCACTCTTGCTAATGATTGTTTTAGTGCTCAGCTTTGGGGTCACAGGAATGTACTGGTATAGAATAAATCGTGTTACAGTGGAGAGTCACAATCTGCACTCACAGTGTTCCTTAAATACTACTGGAAATGAGAAATGTTTGCCAAATGAGAAGAAAGCACATTAAAAGAGCCTCAATAGTTTAGAAATTGCAAAGTTCAAAGTTCACTTGAAAGTGTTAAGGAAGCCAGGTATGGTGATGCACATCTGTAATCCCAGCAGTCAGGAGGCTGAAGGTTGCAAGTTTGAGACAAGCTGGACTATGTACTAAGACCCTGAATTATCCCATCCCCCAAAAATTTGAAGAGGAAAATGTTGTGGTATTTTCTTTAAATGTAGGGAATTTGAGGAAAGTAGAAGGAAATTATATTGGTGAAGTAGGTTACAGAGGCCACGGTTAGGAGTCTATATTTTTATCCTGAGTTTGGTGGGGGAGGCAAGACTGGCTCATGATGGTGAACTGAGTGCACATGTAAACCTCCCCATGAACACCAAATGCCACAGCAAGTGCGATAATACTCTCATAAATATCATGGAAAAATAAGGGATGGGTACTAAAAGTTCAAGGAGACACCAATTGAATGCAGAGTCCTTAATGAGATCTTCTTTAAACAAAGCAGCTTTAATCTGAACATTTAAAAAATGTCCACAAGGAAACTTGAAATTTAGAAAGCAGATGGGATCAAATTTCTTCTAAGACAAAAATAGAAAAACTACAGCATAACAGATAGGAAGAGAACAAATGTGAGACAAAGCAACTTCAGTGATAGTCTGGGCTCGCTGTTAACAGAAAGAGAGAAAGTGGACAGAGGGTGCTCACCTGGTATTGAATTAGCTGGATGCAGAACACCTGGGCCTCTCCCAGTTGATCCCTCCCACAGAGGAGCAATGGTGCTTTTAAAAGCAGGATACAACCCAGCAACTGCACTCTGAAAGCAAAAAAAAAAAAAGAACTGTCTGTGAGATGAGGGTTCCTACTGTGGGTAATTTCCAGAACTCTACCCATGATGAGGAGAAAAGGAAAGAAGCTCTGACCGGGAGGGAAATACACCAAAGTGCTTGGTTTCCAGGGAAAGCCTGTGTTTATTATCACAGTTAGCCCCAGCCTCTCTGCTCTCCAGCCTGTGCTTGCACTCTCTGGCTTACTCATACTAAACCCCATCCAGTGGTCCCATTACAGGAAGCCTCCACTGGGGAATAACACTACCCCACTGCTTACTCACATCTACCCAGTCCTTGATTCATACATGTCTGAACAACCAAGGATTGCCAGGCATCAGCAAATCAACAAATGCATAGGTAGAACAACTGTACCAGAGACAGATTAGTAAGGTTCTGGAGTCTCCAAATGTTTGTGTCCTGCAAATTCATATTTTGAACTCCTAACCCCTAGGTGATGCTATTAGGAGGTGGGTCTGTTGTGCGGAGGTTAGCTCATAATGGCTCTGCCATTATGGATAGGATTAGTGCCTTTATAAAAGAGGCCCTAGGGAGACCCCTGGGCCCTTTTACCATATGAGAACACAGTAAGAAGTGCCATCTGTAAACCAGAAATGATGCCTTTACTTGATACCAAATCTACCAGTGCCTTGATCTTGGACTTCTCAACTTCTAGAGCTGTGAGAAATAAGTTTGTGTGGTTTATAAACTACTTAGTTAATGGTTGCAGGTTTGGTATTACTTGAGTGAACTACATAAAGGAATAGAAATATACTTTTATTTATATTGGCAATACTGGTGTTTGAACCCAGGGCTTTGTGCTTCCTATGCAGCTACTCTACCACTTTGAGCCATGCTCCCCAGCTCTTTTTGCTCTGGTTATTTTGGTAGGGTTTTGCTTTTTGTCTGGCCATCCTGGACTGAGATCTTCCTGGTTTTATGCCTCTTGCATAGCTGTGATGACAGGTGTGCGATACCATACCTAGTTTTCCTTTAAGATGGGGACTCGGGAACTTTTTGCTTGGACTGACCTGGAATTTTGATCTCCCTGATCTCAAACTCTTAAATAGCTAGGATTACAGGCTTGTTCCACTTATGCCCAGTTTAGAAATAAACTTTTAAAATTTTAATTCTAATTCGTACCCTCAGAGAGGATATCACATCCTAAACATAGCAGTTCATTTTTTAAAAAAATCACAAAAAAGAAAAAGCTTAATAATTAGCAAGTCACATTAAGTTGAATTCACTGAAATTGCAAAACTCTTTAGAAGGACTGAAGACTGAGCTGGCGATCTGGAAAATAAAGTTAGGAAAGTCTAGACTTTCAAAAGTTGAGACGTGCTGGGTGCTGGTGGCTCACACCTGAAATCCTAGCTACTCAGGAGGCAGAGATCAGGAGGCTCACAGTTTGAAGCCAGCATGGGCAAATAGTTTGTGAGAGTCTATCTTGAAAAACCCCTTCACGAAAAAGAGTTGGTGGAGTGGCTTGAGATGTAGGACTTGAATTTAAGCCTCAGTATTGGAAAAAAAAAAAAGAAAGAAAGAAAAAGTTGAGATGTGAAGTATTGTTTAGGATTTCCAACATCTAACAGAAGATTTACAAGAAGAGAGATAGACAACAGAGGAGAAATGACCAAAGAAATA